TGGAACTTTGGAATGAAAGGAAATGCATCGGAAAGAGAAGAATACTAACCATGCTTTTTTTAATTTTTAATACTCTCTCTGTAATTGATTTAAATGATAGAAAAATGAGAAATTTTGCAAAATAATGACTTGGTAATAGGGGCATGACATGCCGACGTGTCATTTGAGTTGTAATGAATCTCAAAGGCATCCGCTGGTTATGGAGCTGGCTAGGAAACACTAGTATGGTTGAACGATGCAGCTTTTGACAATTCATGCATTCAAGGTCAGGCAATACCTTTCAACTTCATTGAAAGCAATACTAAACAAGAATTGATGAGGGTTCCCGGAAGGGGAAGAAGCAAAATCAAATACGTAACAAATACCTTCAATTCTAAATATTGAACCTGTCAATAGCCTGTGACAAAATTTATCAATAATTTTCCCATAGTAGTTAAATATCATTCTCTATATTCTTGATGAATATTTCAACAAATTGGAAGGGTATATTGCTAACTTGACAAAAGCTGCTCCAAGTGGTCAAAGAGGATAGATAGCTCGAATTCTTCTGAAAAGTCTCCGCCTCCCCGGTGCTCAATGCCGCTTCTTGCTACCTTTGACAGCACTTGATTTCGAAGGTGTAGTAATCAGGTATACAAAAAGAGCAACAATGGCAATGGTAGAAATTTGAGGTCCACAATTAGTTAAAAGTGCCTGCACAATGATTCAAATAACAGCAAGTAAATTTTCTGCTGCAAAAGATACAGATGTCTTCTTGTTTACGCACTATGGGTATGCATTTACAAAGGTTGCCCCATAAAAGGTTCCAAAAACAGTACCCAAAAAAACAAAAAAAAAAGGCAAAGTAAAAACATATTGCTTACCTTTGCCTGAGAGTTGGGCCATGATGAATGATTGGATGGAAACCACAGCAGTAATCAGTACAAATAAAAACCAATTAGTATATTGAATAACCACTAACGAACAAGCTAAAAACCTCTAAGAAATTTTAGAGGGTGTATCCATTCAAATTTGTTCTCTGTAGGCCCATCAGCAAGGATATCCAATGGCAGAATATCATTTGAATATGCTACCTGGGCAAAAACATTTTGCATCAGTGAACATTAGAGAAATTCCTCTAACAACAAAGTGAACTAAATTGACAGTTTAGACAGACACCAACCTGCAAGGCAGCCTTTGTTGGTTTCCGGAATGTAATGCAAGCAGGTGCACCATAAAACTTGCCTTTTACCTTGGACCCCAACTCAAAGGAATGGGAAACATGAGTACCCCTGCCAGTAACATGCTTTAGTCTGAAATAGGAAACATAAAAGTCAACAATTAGTAAGAAAACAATATTGCCTACCCTTCAAGTCTTTCCCATGAATTGGAAGTTTCACCATTGACAAAAGCAAACATATCTTGGCCCCAATTGTCATCGGTAAGACTTACATTATATGCAACCCTGTTAATGTACATAGAAAGTGAAATTAGTGGTAGCTCAAATAGTTATAAAATATTACGTTTAATGCATCTAAAATGAGGATATTAAGAAAACCATAAAAGTAATATATGTGACAAAAACAACCTAAATTGGCCTTGAATGTCATATACAGATGACTACCATTTGACAGCCATAAACAGTATATTAGATCTTATTGCTAGGCAATGCATTTGCCTTAGTTCAGGATATGTCATGATCCATAACTACTCAATCCCAAGTGAGACAAGTCTGGAATGATATTAATGGAGATCAGGATAGAGATAAAGGGGTTAATTTAACTGTCTACTTCTCATCTTTCACTTCCTTTGCCCTACATGTTTTTAACCATTCCAGGAACAATATAGGGCTTAGATATGGATTTCTTTTATCTTTTTTTTTTTTTTTCCTCTTTTCCTGAAATTAGGAAATTTATCAATTTCTTATTCTGAATTTTCAAGACTAGGGTTTGACAAATCAGAAATGCACACTTCAGTGTCATTGACTCCATAAATCCAACTTCTACACAGCAAATACAGTTCAAGTGTTTATGGTTAATTGTTCATTCATAATCAAATCACGAAATTGTTTATCTACATGCAGAATCACAATTCACAAAACCTCTAAACAAGACCAAGAAACAACTTCTGACGACAACATCCAATTTTAAAGTAGCAATTGATCACGGTCTTGAAAGACATGAAACTGAACAAAAGGCAGTAAGTAAAAGTGAGGATGGGAAAATGCGTACTCGGATCCGTGGTTATAGATGTCGATGGAGACGGTGACTCGCTCGGCTCCTGATTTGAGCCTCTGGAGAGCAACCTTCTTATGTGCCACGATGAACGGAGAATCAGAAACAGCGACGGCGGAGGAAATGACTAATAGAGCTAACAGCAGCAGGGATGTTAGAGGAAAATGCTTCACCGGAATCGCCATTACTGCCGCTGCTTTTTCGCCGATTTGGACTGAGTTTGAAGGAAATTTTCAGATTGCACTCAAATATGGAAATTGTGCAAGATGACACGTCAGACAGGTTCCGCCACGTCATTACTTGTTTCCAATGAAATTTGGCCACGTAAGAAAACAGACGTCAATGCTTTTCTCCCGTCGCCAAAACGTCTCGTCGTTTTGAATTTTCCGCCTTTCATTTTCTTTTTCCGGGATCTGTTTTGGGATAGTGAAAAATAAAGACACGAACTTCATCTCAATTTGTAACTAAATATAATAACTATCATTGTTCTCAAATAAGGACACCAACGTTGTTGCTCTTATAAGGGGCTATTTGTTTTAGCTTTTAAAAAAAAATCAACTATTAACTATCTGTTGCATTTAAATAGTTAATCCAAATACTTAATATTAACAATACTAATTTGATGGGAAAATGGCATTTACGGGGTCACATATGCATGTTAGTTTTATAAAAACTAATCATTTCATGTGTTTAAATCTTTGATTTCAACTTTTAGAATTAAGATTGTTTAAGTTCACAACTGTACACTTAGGTCAGCAAAAGTTTAGAACTATTCATAAAATAGTTTTTGGGTTAACGTCTAATTCACAACAAATTAATATCAAACATATATAAAATCATGTTCAACCCATTGAAGTTGTGATCAAGTGATATCAACCACAATGAGAAATGTGACTTGAAACCTCTAAAATGCTACTTAGATGCAAACAATTTTAACAGATTATCCTTGCCACTTGCCAGTACCTATTGATGAGTATGTTTTACCCCCAAAAAAAAAAAGATTTTTAAAAACATAAGAAATCAGGCATTTGATAATTGAAATGATAAGACCAAAAAATAAAGTGAAGCATTTTAGCTTACCCTTCAAAATTTTGATGTATGAATGTAGCTAAATAAGTAACAGAACGATGGCTTCTCCACATAGAAGAGATGGGTCTAGCATGACAGATAAGAGCCGGTCAGGTAGCCAGGGAACTTGCCCAATAATCATAAGAGGGTTAGCTCTGGGTGATCCCATATTATATTAACCCAACCCCATTTTGTTTTAGGCAAGTCATCCCTGGCTGTCAAACCAAGACCCTTCATCTACATACTAGACCCTCTCTTCTTCTCAACTTAGATTGATCTTTGGAAATTTCGTGATGCCAATGCTGCTTTCGAAAATCTCTCTATTTATAGCCATTCAGAAGTCAGAAGCTTTGATTCCAAAATTCGAATAAATTGATTTCTAATTTCCCCCCCTAACCCATTTTGCTGCCATATTTCATGGATTGAAACGTTTCCCATAATGGAATATATTCCTGTGGATTTAAGGGGGACCAAATTACCATTATGGATTAAATGTTCATTTTGGTTTGATGTTGTTTTCATATCAATGAGGTGTATTTTGTACCTATTAGTTTTTGTGCAATTTTAAACAAATTCTTTTAGAGTGATTTTAAAGACATATATACCTCAATATTAACCAATAAATGTATTTAAATTAATTAAATTTATTTAAATATTGCTTCAAAAACTTAAAGCCTACTTAAATTTAACCAATCAAACAACACATATCAGTTAATCTAACACTATGTTCTATTGCAAATATGATCAACAATGGACCTTTGAGATTGAAAAAGACGAGGCAAGCAAAAAAACACATAGCAAGTTGCACTGAATCAGTTCGTTTTGACCTTTGTGTTTGGGGCTGTAAAAATCCACGATGGCTGCTTTTTGACATGACTTTCCTATTTAAACTCTTGACATATATATCTGATGTGGACTTTATGCCTTAATTCAGATATTTTGGATCCATGTCGATCTTGGCATTTTAGAAGGAATGGATATAATTAAGCTACTGTGATCACATTCCTTTTTCTACTTTTTTTAAGTCTATTAATTTGGCCCGACTTTCACTTTTGTTAAACTTCCCTCGGAGGAGATGTATTGTGTACTAGAATAGTTGAATTAACTACAAACTTTTATTATATAAATCTTAAAAAACTTTTAAATTTAATAAAAGTTATTAACACTGGCAAATTTATTTCAGAAACAATGGTTTTGGAACTTCTCTAGTCCTTCAAAAATTAAAAACAACTCCTGAAAAAATAAAAGACCTTTTGTTCAATTTCAATTTAATTTTATTGTAGAAATATATATATTTTAAATTAATCAAATCAAATCGATCCTGTTAACACTTGATTAAGTTTTATCTTAATATCCAGCAAATCATCAAACATCAATCAATGTTAATTTGCCTATGGGTATGTTTAGCATGTGTTTTGTTCTTGTTTGACTTGGGTACATATTTGTGTCACTATCCCATGCTTTTCTAGTGTCAAGAATTTCAAATGCTTATCCTCCACAGAAAAATTCAACGGGCAATATTATTCCAAGCTTCTTGGGTTAAAAAGCAACTTCCAAAAACAGTACCGCATCTTTCACTTGCATGCAACTTTATATCGCATGGAATAAGAAAAACTGTGTATGACGACTTGAGACTTTAGTGGAGACCATACATGATGTATACGGAAGGTGCGTGACAGGGGAAGTTTCTCATTCAATTCTATGCTAAAAGATTACAATTCTTTTAAATGAACCACCACTACTAAAAAGAAGAAAAAATTTGCTAACAAGTTACAATTATATACCATCTCCTCCTAGCTAGTATTCTTTTGCCCGGACTGTTTTCCGATTAAGAGAGTATATAGTTTTTCTACATTATGAATATTTATTGAGCGTTGAAATAAAGGTTCATTGATGTGAATATTACAACCAACCAATTAATTAAACAACTAAACAAATACGTAGTAATTAAAAATATTAAACACTGCGTCCATGACATTATCGGCAGATTAGTTAAGAAGGCAAATAGTCAACAACGCGTGGTATCCTTAATTACGTGGAGTAGTATGCGTCACGTGACTCAATGATGGTAGTTAAACCTCCATTGACTTGAATTAATAATATTTTTTTATATGTTAATGATCTAAATAATTCAGTAGTAATCTCATTTCATTGGAAGTAAAAAATCTTAAATTTAAGTAACATAATATACTGGTGAGATGAAACAAGAGATGAAAGAAAATTACCTTCGTGTGCAACCAACATAAAAAAAAAAAATGTCCCCTCTAAATAATTGAACTTTATAAGTGGAAACTTTAGAAACTTTTGAGCTCTTTAAACACGAAAACGTCTATAGAGGGCTAGAGACGAAAAGGCTAAATTAAGCTAATCTAAAAATTATGGAATTCAAGTTTGTCTCGAGAGTGGCTGTTTTAACTTAACAAGATTAGAGCCGGGCTCGAGCCAAGCTTGTTTGCAAGATCATTTAGCTAACTAGCTTAACTTAATTGCATCTTTATAATTAACTTATGGGTTTATCTAATCTGTGTGATTAGGATATAAATTAAAAGTATATAAAATAATCTTTTTCATCATAAATTTTTATTGAAAAAACAAAAACTAATTTTTAATTATCAATTGTTTAATTAAATTCATCTAACACTATAATTAATATCAATTTATATATTTTTTATACATATTTATAATAAAAATATACAATAAATATATTCTTATCTTATATCCTAAGGACACAAGATAAAAAAATCCCTTAACTTATTTATAATTGTATTTAAAAGAATTTTAAAAATATATTATCAACCAACTTGAAATGCGAAAAAAAGTCCAAACATAAAAATGCGAGAGAATTTTATAAGCGAAAATTAAACTTAAAGTAAACGTTGTTAATTAATGAACAAAATGTGATTGGAATTAGGAGCAATAAGTAAACATAGAGTTGGTAAAAGATTGTTTTCAAAGCTAACCCTTACATAAAAATGTCAGACCCAATTATTGTCCTTTCTAGTTTTCTTAATTTGCTCACTGCAATAACCCAAAATGTTAACTGTTGTTAATGGTTCGGACTTCTGAGGATTCACATTAATAAATTCATGATGGTACATACCATTTTTTAACAAGGATACACACAAATTTTGAGAGAGTAAAAATCATAAAATTTTGATATTTTAAAAATCACACTACTCCATTTGTTTTAAAATATAAATGGGCTTCACATTTTTATATGTAATTTTAAACAATATTTGTTTATACAATATATTCTTTTATTTTAAAATAATTGTATGTGAGAACTCCTAAGTAGAGTAAGAGTAGCTCCCCAAATAGGAGCTCTCACCATACTCAAAATGGAGTCCTCCCCATTTCCCTTTTCCAAAAATGTAATCCTGTTTAAAAAATTTTGTATTTTTTTAAATTAAAATTTTAAAAATAATTTATGTATTTATCTATATTATTGTACTTTAAAAAATTAAATGATAAAATCAAATTATTTTGTAATAAGATGATTAATTAAAATAAATGAATAATGATAAGGTTAAACTACAAAAAAATATTTTTTTACCTTAAAAAATAAAAAAACATAATTAATTTAGAAGAAACTCAAATTTAAAAAATTATAGTTATTTTCGGATAAATAGTATATAAATAATGCCCTCTCTAGTTGAATTTAGTTGTCCAACTTCATCTATTTACTATTATGGATAAATCTATTTATTACAATAATTAAGACTTATTTTTTCATTTTCATAATTATTTATAATTAAGTGAAGAAGATCTTAATATTTATCTATCTTTTTTAGATAAGGGTAAAATTAAAATAATAACATTTAATATATCACTAAAATTGAAAGTGGGGTAACTAAATCAAATCACCCTTATTTAAAAAGTGAGATAACTAAATCTGAGCAAAATAAGTAATTGAGATTTTCTATTTTCCCATATGTAATTATTGTTGAATAGTTTCTTTAAAAATGTTTAATTATCATTCATATACTATAAAAAGTATTTTTTAAAAATACAGGTAAAAAAATAAAAAAAATTATATTTTATGATTGATGGATTACAAATATAATTGAGAATGTAAATTATTTTTGAGAAATTTTTTATAAGTCTTTTTAATTTGTACTTTTAAACTATAAATTAAGAATATATTTGTTATATATTTTTACTATTAATTTATATAAAAAATTATAAAAGTAAAATTTATTTTTAATACTAACATCTCATGTAATAATTTAATTAAATAATTGATAAATTTTAAATAAATTTTTATTCTTTCCACATAAATTAATAATAAAAAATATTATAATTACAGTTTTAATCTATATTTTTAAAGTATATATTAAAATATTTTTAATTTTATATTAAATAATAAAATATAATTTTTATAAAAAGAAGATTTTGTACAATAAAATATAAATAGGTAGGTTTATCTATCATATGTTTTTAAAACACAAAAAAAAAAGTAATAATTGCATAATTATTATTAATTTTTATTTTGAAAATAATAAAGTGAACTTTTATTTTAATTACAAATGTTACTGTATCAGTTATTTATTTATTTATTTTAAAATTAAAATTAAAATTTATTCTTTAATTTAAAATTTCACATTTTTAAAAATAATTAACTAATAATAACCTTTTATCACGAGATACCTTTATCTTTTTCTTTTTTTTTTTGGTTTTTTGACAATAAGAAACTTAAGTTAGTTAATGTGTTAGTATCTGTAGTGTTAATAGAGAAGCTCGAACGTTTGGAGAGGGTGCAATCCACTGGCTGCTCATTTGAGTAGCAATGGCCACCATTGGGCCACAACAAGGGAATGCATCACGAGATACCTTTATCCTTAGGATAGAAAAATTCAATATAAATTATTACTATTACGTCCTTCAGGTGCAAATTATTTTGAGAGTTAGAGAGAAATAAAAAAATTACATATGTACCATTGATTTGTTGATTCGAGT